CATTCCGTATTACAGGTTTGATTTGTGTGATATTGGTTTAGGCTAAAGGCAAGATAGTGGTTTATAATGAAGAGTGGGTAACGTACGGTACCAGCGTTCAGTACAGGACTCGCGGCGCGACTGAAGCTGCAAAAGTTGCTGCCGTTGCATCTTTAGTGCGTTCTGTGACACCCTTCTCTATCTACAGTCCGCATACCGGACAACAGGTATGTCAACAGTCATTTACAGTCCGCATACCGGACACCAGGTATGTCAACAGTCATTTACAGTCCGCATACCGGACACCAGGTATGTCAACAGTCATTTACAGTCCGCATACCGGACACCAGGTATGTCAACAGTCATTTACAGTCCGCATACCGGACACCAGGTATGTCAACAGTCATTTACAGTCCGCATACCGGACACCAGGTATGTCAACAGTCATTTACAGTCTGCATACCGGACACCAGGTATGTCAACAGTCATGTTTTGTTTGCATTTGTATTGTATTATATATGATGCTGAATGTCGTGGCTCATGTCAATGCTGTAACTAGTTTATAAATCATATAATTGATGGCCATATCATAAGCCAGAACTGCTGGTTTACCTGCACAACTATTTGAACCTTGGTACTATATGGCCCTGCCCAGACTCATTCCTTAGCATTACTATATATAAGAAAGTCTGTTTTGCTGCAAAATCTATTTCAGGTTCTACACATGAGCTTCAATAATGCTATATTTTTTATATGACAGAGCTATGATGCGAATGTGAAGAAGATTCCAACTGCTTGCATAACTGTTGAAGATGTTGCTATGCTTCAAAGAATGGCTGAAAGAGGTATACTTGTGTAGATGTGTACTCGTGTAGGTATAAGGTGTGTAAGAAGTGAGTGAGAATGGTCGGGGCATAAAATGACTTTTTTTTCGCAAGTTTTCTTAAAATGCTCCCCTCATCACTTAATTACTATTGAGTACTACTTGTTATATATCATTCACGCATATGTACACTTACATCTTGTTTCTCATCATATTCATCTCATATGCTTGATTTCTATTTATACAGCATAGTATCAGGGGCGTGTACAGGATTTGTACCAGGGGGGGGGGGTCTAACCGTAACCCAAACTTGCGAAGGGGGGGGGGTCAGACAAATTTTGAAATTAGACCCCCTTAGATGCATTTTCTGCGCGAGCAGGGGGGTTCCGGACCCCCTAGACCCCCCCCCCCCTGTACACGCCCCTGAGTATTGCACCGTTTGTGAAAACTGCTGTTGATTGAACAAAAAGAAACCTGTCGTACCTTGGTATGGTAATTTTGTATTAGCAGTAGCTCTAATGATGTGCATTACTTAGCATTTATTTAATCAGATATTGACAATTTACCTTCAATGCTCTGACTACTTAGGGGAGAAAATCGTGATCAACTTGAAAATGAGTGCAAAGTACAAGCGACCAAGGAGGTCCAGAAATGTTGTTGCAGAGATAGTAGGACACAAGTTCCCCGAAGAGGTTTCTTGATTTCTATACTTTTATTTTGCTACACCTACTAAGTATTTTTATTAAATAATTATACTTTGTAAATCTAAGCTACTCAGCTTGCTAGCAAATACACTACTTAGTAACATTTTATCATTAATTGTCTAGCTGTCATATCAACATGGTCATTGACAGGCTAGCCTAGTTTTCATGCCACCAATATAACGATTAAAAGGTTTTCTACGTTTATATTCGAAATGGTTGTGGATTTTATAGCCTTAGTTTAGCTCATGTTGTAAGAACTCCTTTATATTGTAGGTGGTCTTAGTGAGTGGTCATCTAGACAGCTGGGATGTAGGACAAGGGGCCATGGATGATGGTGGGGGTGCTTTCATTTCCTGGGAGGTTAGTTATGGAAATGCTTCATTTGAGTTATGTGAACACGCAGTTTCTGGATGTATACACTAACTATGTTTAATTTAATGACGTGTATTCTCCGAGTTTAATATAAAAATGACATGTCTGACTAAAGGTGAAACAAATGCTACAAAAAGTTCCAGAGAACAACATAATTCATGCTAAGATATAACCAGGGTGTTTGACTGTTTTAGGTTCTCACTGTATTGAAAAAGCTCAAACTCAGACCAAAAAGGACAATTCGGCTGGTATTGTGGACAGGTGAGGTTAGTATCGTTATCTGCCCAAAAATCAATGTTATGTAATTGTGAAGTAATAAGTATGTGTATTATAATTAGCAGGGGCGTAGATAGCGGGGGGGATGGGGGGGATGCATCCCCCCACTTATTGACGTGGGGGGGTTGGCGTGTACAATCATCCCCCCCTACTTTCAGGAGGAAAATGGGGGATTCAAAATTTTCTGGGGGAGGACCCGCATACCCCCGCATGTTTCTTACCACCCTCCTCGAAAAGCCGCTGCCGCCGCTGCCGCCGCTGACTTCCTCGGTCTCCACGATGTCGTCGAGGTCTCCCTCGTCGTTGCAGCTGTACTCCTCGGTGGTCGTCGCCGAGTCGACGCTGCACTCGGACACGCTGCGGCAGACGCTGCCGCCGCCGCCGCGTTTCTTCAGGATGCCGCGAAGGGTCGCGCCGCGGCTGCACACGACCTCGAGACTCAGCGACTCGGTGTCGGACAGCGAGCGAGCCGCGTCCTCGCGCCGCACCAACAGGTCGCTGTCGCTGCTGTGCCGCCGCCGACCCTGCTTTCGCGCCGTCGTTGCGGCGGCGGCGGCGGTCTGCGTGCGCGTGTCGTCGTAGACGGTCTCGAGTTCGGATTTGATCGCTTCCTCGGCGTTGTGCGCGTTGTTGACGACGGTGATGACGTCGCTGTTCGAATCGACGACGACGACGACCGATCCGCTGTCGGGTATTTGCGACTGGTTTCGCTTATTTCCTTTCTTAACGACTGTCCAGCCGTCTTCCTCACCTTCTTGGCTCGCTGTGTCATCGCTACTTTTGTCATATCCCTCCTCGTCTGTCGTGCTGGAATTATTAGGCTCCTGCGAGAGGCAATAAAACTCGATTAAATACACTACGAATGAAATCACAAAGAAACAGAATACGCCAGAATTTCGCTCAGTTAAAAAATGTGTATGTGGTAAATCTGTACACACACTTTAGCAGAATTAAGATTTCGGTTAGCAGATCGAATGTAGTGATTGTGTGTGCACGTATCAAATTATATTAATCCCACTGTGTCAAACCAAACAGCATAAACATACATGAGTATTAAAGTGTAAAGGCTATGAAAACAAATTTATGGTTTCTGTCCTCTCACTAGTCTGTCACTCAAGCCCTAATATCTTAAATATGAATTGTTTTCATCTGTATTCTTCTTAGGTTTTTTTTATGATGGACTGAACACAGTTCGTTTGATACCATTGTTTATCATTCAGTGCAAAATGGGCTGGCCCAATAGTTCCGTATTGTTTCGATACAATCCAAATACTAGTTTGCAGAATCATGAAGTTTTAATAATAAATTTTGTAACGGGCTATATACATGGATTTTACTACATATTATTGTATTGAAAATACGAGCCCTACGAGTATAGTAGAGCATGCATACTTCAAGTATCAGGGGAGATAATATGAGGTCAAAAGGGCCTTATGTTAAACAGCCACAGGTCCGTTAGTCTTGCAGCTTGATAGGGTATAAAGTACATAGCGTGTAAGACAAAATATGCAGCTGAATTCGCTACGCACCAGCTTCTAACGAAACCACTAGAGATACTAATTATATATACTCATTAAAAATGTATGTCTGTTTGTCCCAAACATCTATCTACCCACACAAAGTCACATACATTATGCAGGAGTATGGGTAGTTCTTATTCACCTATTTCATCCCACATCATTACTGTCATATTTTCCATACTCGTTTAAAAATTCACCTGCGCACCACCTGGACGGCACTTGTGACACAAACATCGGCAGCAGGTGATCTTACCTGAGCCAGGCTACAGCCGTGACCTGACGATACGCTATCGATGCACGGGGAGGTCTCGCCCGAGCTCTGCCTCAGCCTTATCAGCTTCCCCATCCTGCTGTGGAGCGACTCTTCGGTAACTAATTCGACAACCTGCATCAAATTTCAAATTTCAATTTCAAAAAATTTATTTATCACCATAATTTGCAAAAATACAATGATGCAGAAAACATTATTTTGAAGGGTGAAGGGGTAGCGAAAGACCATAGGGTCATCAAGTCAGCTATCCCTCTATATGTACAGTAGACATAATATCAAGAGCAGATAAAGAAGGAGAGCGTACAAGGGTAAAATGCTGAAACCATGCTGCAGTATTAGTCGAATTAATAAACTTTTCCCGTTTTATTTTGACGATCCTTTACAGTATTATTGATTAGCTGTCCTACCTTGTTCATATAAAACAAACCGCATGTCCCTACGATGCCCCTACGCCGAGATAATGAGCGGTGAAAATCTGGTATGTTCACCGAAACCCGACTCAAGATCAGTGTTTACTGCGTCCCTCACTCGAAGTGTTATAACTTCGGGAAACCTCGCGTGTCCCGAATGACGTCTGTTATTGATTGCCATAGTGATGACCCCACCTGTGCCCACATCACGCCCACCTCACACTGGATGTATAGTAAACTCTGGTAGTATTACATGAGTCGGCGCCACTATGGCGCTACACAGCGGCGACCGGAATCAACACACTGGAAACACTTCGAGTGAGGGACGCAGTAAACACTGACCTCCAGTCGGGTTTCGGTGAAAATACCAGATTTCCACTGCTCATTATCTCAGCGTAGGGGCATCGTAGGGACATGCGGTTTGTTTTATATGAACAAGGTAAGACAGCTAATCAAATAAAACGGGAAAAGTTTATTAATTCGACTAATACTGCAGCATGGTTTCAGCATTTTACCCTTGTACGATCTCCTTCTTTATACGCTCTTGATAATATGGAGCGCCAGATATTCGCTGTATTGCAAATTAGGAAAAGTTGAAATAAATTTGCAAATAAAAAGTAAAGGTGCAGTATATACAGTAATAACTGCAGTGATAGTCGCGAAGTTAAGCAGGAGATTTTTTAGTATTTATGAGTCCATGCAAATGAAATAAAAATTAACAGCAAATTTAACAGCAATAAATACTGTCGGTAATATAAACGATAACAGGGTCATTCCGTGTCAGATCACCCAATGGGTTACACCTTACCCTTTCCAAATTGGCTGAAATTTGGTTTATGTGGTAATTTAGGCTGAAAAAGCGGAAATTTCAAATTTCAGCTCCGTCGGACAAACGATTTTCGCGCTACGCCACGCCCTTTTTTGGTAATTTTTTAAAATAACCCGTCAATTTTCAAATGGTCGTATCTCTGTAACTACTAGGCCAAATTGGTTAATATTGGTGTCTTTGGAAAGCTAATTGCATAGGCAATCCAAATCTGTCATTATTTATTATATAGGAGCAGTATAAAGTTTGATGACCTTTTGACCTTTACTTTGACCTTGAATTTGAC